GATAAACATATTTTAACTGTAAAATGAAGGAGAAGGTAGAAATGACTCAGTCTGTAACTGAAAATATGGATGGAGGACAACGGTTTAGCTTGTTTGTCGCGCTAGCGCTGAAATAATACATATATAAAGCAATGTAGCGTCGGCGCCAGCACAAAGGCTAACAGGCTAAGCTGAGGTTCTTCTTCCATGAAGCAGCTCTGTTGTCCTCCATCCATATTTTCAGTTACAGACTGAGTCATTTCTACCTTCTCCTTCATTTTACAGTTAAAATATGTTTATCAAATAAATGGTAAATGGTAAATGGTACTGAACTTATAGAGCGCTTTTCAAATCCCTCCGGACCCCAAAGCGCTTTACACTAACAGACATTCACCCATTCACACTCACATTCACACACTGATGATGGCAAACTACACTGTAGCCACAGCTGCCCTGGGGCACAAAGTCTAATGTTACAACTAATCAGGGATCCCTTTAAGAGACTTAGCTGAGTTGTTAGTTCCTCCATTTTTTTATTGGCTTGCTCCTGCTGTATACACATGGTGTGGACCCACTACCAGTATGCAAACCACGTTCTGAGCGCAGATCAACTGTGCCTATAGCTTCCCTATTCTTTTGCATTGAGGACCTACTGCACGTGCCCAGGAGTTAACATTAGTCTTAAATGGTAAAGATTTTTGCACCCTGGAGTGAACTGGAAGTGACTCAACACGACAACACTCATGAGTAAAATGAAAGTTTATCCATTAATAACTATAAAAGATTTATCGTACTCATCTAAAACATATATAGATATTTCTACTAAARATTTTATTTTGTTATTTTGTTTTTATAATTTTTCTGTCCCAAAAAATAGTGGCGGAGCGGTGCACTAGCACCCTCTAGTGACCAGCCACCATTGGTTCGTTCTGTTAGCAGCAAGAGTTTGTAGTAAGCTARTAAAACACAAATTTTATTTGACATTTTTAGCTTAATTGTTTGCTCAGTTAGACCAGCTGCGGAGTTCCTCCTGAAAGATATTGAATCAGTTGTTGAGGTAAATCCAATGAATGCTTTAAGTCTGRAGGAGAACAGGAGCACATAAAATATTTACCTTTGTGTGTTTGTGAACCAAACGTAGCTCCAGCTGGGACGGGTAACTCGGGTGCAGAAACACAGGAAGATCCTGCGAGCAGCCAAGAACCTGGAACCAGACACACTGATCATTGAATATCGGGGGAAAGTTATGCTCCGACAACAGTTTGAAGTCAACGGGCACTTCTTCAAAAAGTAAGATGTCACACTCTGACTATTGTGGTCACTCCTGTTTTCTGCTTTTCATGCTTATTGTTTGTTCTTTCCCCAGACCGTATCCGTTTGTGCTCTTCTACTCCAAGTTTAACGATGTAGAGATGTGTGTCGACGCCAGGACGTTTGGAAATGATGCCCGTTTTATCAGAAGGTCCTGCACCCCCAACTCTGAGGTCAGACACTGAGAAACACTGACCTGTCCCAGATGAAGCTGTCAATAGCTTTATTCCTAATATTCCACAAACACATGCTGCCATCTGCAGGTTCGACACATGATCGCTGAGGGGATGATCCACCTGTGCATCTATGCCATCAGTCAGATTACTAAAGACTCTGAAGTCACGATTGGATTTGACTACGAGTTCAACAACTGGTGAGTCCTGCTTCTCATCAAACACACCTGGCCTTTCACCTTCTTTGCATCGGCCACGTGAAAAGCCTTTTCTTTTRCCTCCCCTAACAACTCACCAGTAATTATAAAGTGGACTGTGCCTGCCATAAGGGCAACCAGAACTGCCCTGTGCAGAAGCACAACCTGAGCCCCAGGGAGAGCTTGCTGAGCCCCCCCGTCGTGGCCCTCCCTTCCCCTCCTGTTGGCGCTGTGACCCGACGGAGGAAAGCTCAGAGGAAGGAGCTGGAGAGTTGTCTGCTCAGCAGCAGCCATGAGCAGCAGCAGGGCAGCAGTGATACGGAGGTTTGATTCACACAGTTTTCTTCATAACTTTACTGTAGTCAGCTGTTTTATTCAACTGCACTAACTATTTAACTCATTTATTCATTCTGGCCTTCAGGACAAAACACAGGATGGGATTAAAGTGGAAGAAGCAGATGAAGGAGATGTAGAAGAAAATGGGATCATCTCCAGTAAAAGAGTAAGAAATGAGTACATTTTTATTACTAGCTGGTGTACGTACATTTTCTGAGTTTGTTTGGTGTGAGAATAAAACCAGTTAAAAATCCTTGCATTCCTAGAGGGCATGRATGTCACCCCAGAATTGATAGTTGTTTGGGTCAAACTTTGAGAATACATGTGGACAGAACTTGCATGAGGTCATTTACAGAGTTTGTGCTGAAGATATCTCTCAGCTTTGACCACGTCCAGTTTTAACTCCATATTTGTCAAACTGACTCATTTCTACTCATTAAGGTGTTTGCTAAGGTCAGCTAGCTGTGGTGGGCTTCTTGAATCAGGGTGACTGCCATCAGTTGTAGATGTTCACTGACTGACTGATTCACTGACTGACAGACTGACTTATTCATCGACTCACTGACTGACTGACTGACTGACTCACTGATTCATCGACTCACCGACTCACTGACTGACTGACTGACTGACTGACTGACTGACTGACTGACTGACTGACTGACTGACTCACTGACTCACTGGCTGACTGCTGACTCACTGGCTGACTGCTGACTCACTGGCTGACTGCTGACTCACTGGCTGACTGCTGACTCACTGGCTGACTGCTGACTCACTGGCTGACTGACTGACTGACTCACTG